CCCCCCCCCAGAGTACAGTCGGTTCGAGGCCAAAATCCACGACCTGCGGGAGCAGCTCCTGAGCAGCAGTTTGGGGTCGGGCAGCGCCTCCCTGAGGAGTGACCCTAAAAGAGGCTTCTACGTCAGGTGGGGGGACACCCTGGGGACACTGGGGGGACTGGGGACACTCTGGAGACATTGGGGGGATTTGGGGACATTTTGGTGGGAGGGGATTGGGGGGACTGTGGGGACAGGGAACACTGGGGACATTTGGGACCCTGGGAGGGGGATTGGGGTTGGTCTGTGGGTGACACGTGGACACTGGGGGGTGATACAGGTGGCAGAGGTGACAGGGGTGACAATGACCCCCCCGTTTCCCCCCCAGGGCCCTGTTTGACTACGACAAGGCCAAGGACGTGGGGTTCCTGAGCCAGGCCCTGAGCTTCCGCTTCGGGGACGTCCTGCACGTCCTGGACGCCTCAGACGAGGAGTGGTGGCAGGCCAGGCTGGTCCTGCCCCAGAACCAGCCCCCAGACATCGGCTTCGTGCCCAGCAAGCGCAGGTGGGGGCAGTGGGGGGCACTGGGAGGGACGGGGAGGGACTGGGAGGACACTGGGAGCAGTGGCAGGCGAGGCTGGTCCTGCCCCAGAACCAGCCCCAAGCGTCAGGGAGGGACGAGGAGGGGAGCTGGGGGCACTGGGAGGGACTGGGAGGGGATTGGGAGGGGATTTGGGAGTGCTTGTGGGCACTGGGAGAAACTGAACAGTTACTGGTGGTTACTGGGAGGTAACTGGGAGCACTGGGGTGGTTACTGGGAGGTAACTGGGAGTACTGGTCCCCCACAGGGTCGAGCGCCGGGAGTGGACGCGGCTCAAGGCCAAAGATCGGGGGCCTGGGGGACAAGGTGGGGACCACCCATAACCCCCCCAAATCCCCCCCCAACCACCATAAAAACCCACCCCAACCCCCCCGACTCCCCTCGAGCCCCTAAAAAACCCCCAACCCCCCCAAAACCCCCCCAACTCCCTCTATAATTGTTCCCCCCCCTCTCCTCACCCCCCAGTTTAGGGTCCCTCACTAATTTGGGGTCCCCCTAATTTTGGGGCATCCCTCCCCAGTTCAGGACTCCCCCCTTTGGGGTGTCCCCTACTCATTTTGGAGTGTCCCCTACTAATTTTGGGGTGTCCCCCCCAGGCCGCGAGGACGCCGTGCTGAGCTACGAGACGGTGACGCAGATGGAAGGTGACAAATCTGGGGGGGGTGTCGTGTGTCCCCCCCACCCCCCCACCTCGGGGGCACATTTTGGGGTCCCCCCACCCCGGGGGTGACCTGGGGGGGTGGTCCCAAAACTTTTGGGGTCCCCCTGACCCCTAATTTTTGGGCTCCCCCCCCCCCAGTTCACTACGCGCGGCCGATCATCATCCTGGGCCCCACCAAGGACCGAGTGAACGACGACCTCCTGTCCGAGTTCCCCGAGAAATTCGGGTCCTGCGTCCCCCGTGAGTCACCTGGGGGCACCTGGGGACACCTGGGATAGCTGGGATACACCTGGAAACACATTCCCTCACCCTGAATCCCACCCAACCCCACCCCGTGCAGACACGACGCGGCCCAAGCGCGAGTACGAGGTGGACGGGCGGGACTATCACTTCGTGGCGTCGCGGGAGCGGATGGAGAAGGACATCCAGGGCCACAAGTTCATCGAGGCCGGCCAGTACAACAGCCACCTGTACGGCACCAGCGTCCAGTCCGTGCGGGAGGTGGCCGAGCAGGTGAGGGCGCACCTGGGGCGCACCTGGGGCACGGCTTGGGGGGGGGTTGGGGGGCACACCCGGAGCGTACCTGTGCCCACCTGCGCCCCCTCCCCCCCGGCAGGGCAAGCACTGCATCCTGGACGTGTCGGCCAACGCGGTGCGGCGGCTCCAGGCAGCCCAGCTGCACCCCATCGCCATCTTCATCCGCCCCAAGTCCCTGCAGAACGTCCTGTGAGGGCCGGGGGGGTTAAACTGGGGAGAAAAACGGGGGGATCGGGGCAAAAACGGGGGAGTTGGGAGAGAAGAAATGGGAGGTTGGGCCCAAAAGGGGGGCGTGGTCTGAATGGGGGGCGTGGTTTGGGGGTGGGGTTTCTTATGAGGGGTGGGGTTTGGGTTGAGTTGAGGGGCGTGGTTTGTGGGTTTGTGGGCGTGTCCCGACGGTGGCCCCGCCCCACAGGGAGATCTCCAAGCGGGTGTCGGAGGAACAGGCGCGAAAGGCCTTCGACAGAGCCACCAAACTGGAGCAGGAGTTCACCGAGTGCTTCTCGGGTGCGGTCCCCCACACCCCAAAAATAACCCCCAGAGCCCCCCCCGCAACCAGCCCGGGACCCCC